AAGTACTAACATTTCCCTCCCCTCCCCCACTCTCAGCACATCTTTTGTACAGTAATAGTTTTTTGTTGTGTGGTGTTGTTTTTTGTTTGTCTAATCTTCTCTGTTTTCTCTTTGCTGGGACCTCATCGTTGGAGATGGTGGAATAAGGACTTGGAGGCGGCAGGGCATATTGGATTGGAACAGCATCCCAACAAAGCTGGAATGGAGGTATTTCTTAGTCATTAAGAAATAGCAGAGGTAAGATCGTTTATTTATTATTTTGGCACTCCTACTAAGTACTAACATTTCCCTCCCCTCCCCCACTCTCAGCACATCTTTTGTAAAATTTGTTGTTTTCTTTTGTATTTTTGCATTTTTGTACTGTTGTTGTTTAATTTGTTTAATCTTCTCTGTTCTCTATTTGCCGGGACTTCATCGTTGGAGATGGTGGAATAAGGACTTAGGGGCGGCTGGGCATATTGGATTGGAACAGCATCCCAACAATGCTGGAATGGAAGTATTTCTTAGTCATTAAGAAATAGCAGAGGTAAGATCGTTTCATTATTTTGGCACTCCTACTAAGTACTAACATTTCCTCCCCTCCCCCACTCTCAGCACATCTTTTGTACAATAATTGTTTTTTGTTGTGTGGTGTTGTTTTTTGTTTGTCTAATCTTCTCTGTTTTCTCTTTGCCGGGACTTCATCGTTGGAGATGGTGGAATAAGGACTTGGAGGCGGCTGGGCATATTGGATTGGAACAGCATCCCAACAACGCTGGAATGGAGGTATTTCTTAGTCATTAAGAAATAGCAGAGGTATGATACTTTCATTATTATTTTGGCACTCCTACTAAGTACTAACATTTCCCTCCCCTCCCCCACTCTCAGCACATCTTTTGTACAGTAATAGTTTTTTGTTGTGTGGTGTTGTTTTTTGTTTGTCTAATCTTCTCTGTTTTCTCTTTGCCAGGACTTCATCGTTGGAGATGGTGGAATTAGGACTTGGAGGCGGCTGGGCATATTAGATTGGAACAGCATCCCAACAACGCTGGAATGGAGGTATTTCTTAGTCATTAAGAAATAGCAGAGGTAAGATCGTTTCATTATTTTGGCACTCCTACTAAGTACTAACATTTCCCTCCCCTTCCCCACTCTCAGCACATCTTTTGTAAAATTGTGTTTCTTTTGTATTTTTGTACTGTTGTTGTTTAATTTGTCTAATCTTCTCTGTTCTCTGTTTGCCGGGACTTCATCGTTGGAGATGGTGGAATAAGGACTTGGAGGCGGCTGGGCATATTGGATTGGAACAGCATCCCAACAACACTGGAATAGAGGTATTTCTTAGTCATTAAGAAATAGCAGAGGTAAGATCGTTTCATTATTTTGGCACTCCTACTAAGTACTAACATTTCCCTCCCCTCCCCCACTCTCAGCACATCTTTTGTAAAATTGTGTTTCTTTTGTATTTTTGTACTGTTGTTGTTTAATTTGTCTAATCTTCTCTGTTCTCTGTTTGCCGGGACTTCATCGTTGGATATGGTGGAATAAGGACTTGGAGGCGGCTGGGCATATTGGATTGGAACAGCATCCCAACAACGCTGGAATAGAGGTATTTCTTAGTCGTTAAGAAATAGCAGAGGTAAGATCGTTTCATTATTTTTGCACTCCTACTAAGTACTAACATTTCCCTCCCCTCCCCCACTCTCAGCACATCTTTTGTACAGTAATAGTTTTTTGTTGTGTGGTGTTGTTTTTTGTTTGTCTAATTTTCTCTGTTTTCTCTTTGCCGGGACCTCATCGTTGGAGATGGTGAAATAAGGACTTGGAGGCGGCTGGGCATATTAGATTGGAACAGCATCCCAACAACGCTGGAATAGAGGTATTTCTTAGTTATTAAGAAATAGCAGAGGTAAGATCGTTTCATTATTTTGGCACTCCTACTAAGTACTAACATTTCCCTCCCCTCCCCCACTCTCAGCACATCTTTTGTACAGTAATAGTTTTTTGTTGTGTGGTGTTGTTTTTTGTTTGTCTAATCTTCTCTGTTTTCTCTTTGCCGGGACCTCATCGTTGGAGATGGTGGAATAAGGACTTGGAGGCGGCTGGGCATATTGGATTGGAACAGCATCCCAACAACGCTGGAATGGAGGTATTTCTTAGTCATTAAGAAATAGCAGAGGTAAGATCGTTTCATTATTTTGGCACTCCTACTAAGTACTAACATTTCCCTCCCCTCCCCCACTCTCAGCACATCTTTTGTAAAATTGTTTTCTTTTGTATTTTTGTACTGTTGTTGTTTAATTTGTCTAATCTTCTCTGTTCTCTATTTGCCGGGACTTCATCGTTGGAGATGGAAGAATAAGGACTTGGAGGCGGCTGGGCATATTGGATTGGAACAGCATCCCAACAACGCTGGAATGGAAGTATTTCTTAGTCATTAAGAAATAGCAGAGGTAAGATCGTTTCATTATTTTGGCACTCCTACTAAGTACTAACATTTCCCTCCCCTCCCCCACTCTCAGCACATCTTTTGTACAGTAATAGTTTTTTGTTGTGTGGTGTTGTTTTTTGTTTGTCTAATCTTCTCTGTTTTCTCTTTGCCGGGACCTCATCGTTGGAGATGGTGGAATAAGGACTTGGAGGCGGCTGGGCATATTGGATTGGAACAGCATCCCAACAACGCTGGAATGGAGGTATTTCTTAGTCATTAAGAAATAGCAGAGGTATGATCGTTTCATTATTTTGGCACTCCTACTAAGTACTAACATTTCCCTCCCCTCCCCCACTCTCAGCACATCTTTTGTAAAATTGTTTTCTTTTGTATTTTTGTACTGTTGTTGTTTAATTTGTCTAATCTTCTCTGTTCTCTATTTGCCGGGACCTCATCGTTGGAGATGGTGGAATAAGGACTTGGAGGCGGCTGGGCATATTGGATTGGAACAGCATCCCAACAACGCTGGAATGGAAGTATTTCTTAGTCATTAAGAAATAGCAGAGGTAATTTCATTATTTTGGCACTCCTACTAAGTACTAACATTTCCCTCCCCTCCCCCACTCTCAGCACATCTTTTGTACAGTAATAGTTTTTTGTTGTGTGGTGTTGTTTTTTGTTTGTCTAATCTTCTCTGTTTTCTCTTTGCCGGGACCTCATCGTTGGAGATGGTGGAATAAGGACTTGGAGGCGACTGGGCATATTGGATTGGAACAGCATCCCAACAACGCTGGAATGGAGGTATTTCTTAGTCATTAAGAAATAGCAGAGGTATGATACTTTCATTATTATTTTGGCACTCCTACTAAGTACTAACATTTCCCTCCCCTCCCCCACTCTCAGCACATCTTTTGTACAGTAATAGTTTTTTGTTGTGTGGTGTTGTTTTTTGTTTGTCTAATCTTCTCTGTTTTCTCTTTGCCGGGACCTCATCGTTGGAGATGGTGGAATAAGGACTTGGAGGCGGCTGGGCATATTGGATTGGAACAGCATCCCAACAACGCTGGAATGGAGGTATTTCTTAGTCATTAAGAAATAGCAGAGGTATGATCGTTTCATTATTTTGGCACTCCTACTAAGTACTAACATTTCCCTCCCCTCCCCCACTCTCAGCACATCTTTTGTAAAATTGTTTTCTTTTGTATTTTTGTACTGTTGTTGTTTAATTTGTCTAATCTTCTCTGTTCTCTATTTGCCGGGACTTCATCGTTGGATATGGTGGAATAAGGACTTGGAGGCGGCTGGGCATATTGGATTGGAACAGCATCCCAACAACGCTGGAATGGAAGTATTTCTTAGTCATTAAGAAATAGCAGAGGTAATTTCATTATTTTGGCACTCCTACTAAGTACTAACATTTCCCTCCCCTCCCCCACTCTCAGCACATCTTTTGTACAGTAATAGTTTTTTGTTGTGTGGTGTTGTTTTTTGTTTGTCTAATCTTCTCTGTTTTCTCTTTGCCGGGACCTCATCGTTGGAGATGGTGGAATAAGGACTTGGAGGCGGCTGGGCATATTGGATTGGAACAGCATCCCAACAACGCTGGAATGGAGGTATTTCTTAGTCATTAAGAAATAGCAGAGGTATGATCCTTTCATTATTATTTTGGCACTCCTACTAAGTACTAACATTTCCCTTCCCTCCCCCACTCTCAGCACATCTTTTGTGAAAAATTTTTTTTTGTTCTGTTGTTTTTTGTTTGTCTAATCTTCTCTGTTTTCTCTTTGCCGCGACTTCATCGTTGGAGATGGTGGAATTAGGACTTGGAGGCGGCTGGGCATATTGGATTGGAACAGCATCCCAACAACGCTGGAATGGAGTTTTTTATGTTAATGTTAGGTTTTTATTGTTATATTAGTTATTTGTTATAGTTTTTGCTTTGTTAGTGTTGTTAGTTGTAAGTTGTTTATTTTTAGGTAATGTTATTTAACATTATTTAATGTTTGTTTTGTTATTCTGTTCGTTATATTAGTTATTTATTACATCTAAGGTTTATTTTTTTGTTAGACATTTGTTTGTTGATATGTTTGTTTGGAAAGTTAAGTTAGTAATTTTCTATAAGTGTTATCAGTGTAATTTTTTGTTGTTGTTATGATTATGTTATTTGTTATTGTTATGATTTTATTAGTTATCTGTTATTGTTATGAGTTTTATTTAGTTGTTTTTGTTATGATCAAGTTTAGGTATTTGTTATGAGTGTTAATTATTTGTTATTGGTATGTCAGTATTAGCTATTGGTTATTAGTATGTCAGTATTAGTTACTGGTATGTCAGTATTAGTTATTTGTTATTGCTATTTGTTATTGATTTGAGTATTAGTTATCTGTTATTGGTGTGTAAGTATTAGTTATTTGTTATTGCTATTTGTTATTGGTTTGAGTATTAGTTATTTGTTATTGGTATGTCAGTATTAGTTATTGGTATGTCAGTGTTAGTTATTTGTTACTGGTATTAAGCATGTGTCTAATGTTCTTTGTTGTATTTTCCAGTAGTATCTACATTGGACATGGTGGATATATAAACAATAATATGCTTTCTTTGGTTGTTATTATGGGAAGTAACGTTGCAGCTGGTGCAGAAAAGCTTGAAAGTTGCAGAGGAATAAGCAATATTCTTAAGCGAGATGAGGTAAAATGTAATAGAAAACATTCAATTAATTAAAAATTCAGAGCCAGAAAATAACAGCTAAAATTATGCATTATTGTTGGGTGATTTAAAATGTTCCAGAAAAAAGTTAAATAGTCCTAATATTAGTGACTTAATTCATCTTTCCAAAATGGAGAAAATGATCCTTAATATAGTGTAGCTTTCCCTGGCAAGGACCAATGTATTTTTATCTCTACTAATCGGAGACCAGAAGAGCTTATACATTAACAAAATGTCCATTTTCCGTCCGTCTGTCTAGCTGTCTGTTTGTAAATAATTTTTCAAAAAGCTACTTCTCTTTCAGTTTTGGTCCATTTTTAATAAGTCAAATCAATACACAATGAACTATTCTATGATACATAATTCTTTATACTGGTTTTTGCTTTTGAAAAATGATGTTGCCCTGGTTACTAGAAAAGGAACTTCTTTGAAACTCTTTTCAAAACATTATTCCTAAAGTTTTGGTCTGATTTCAATAGGATTTGGTACACAAGTAGACTATACTTAAGTTACATAATTTTTTATATTTCTTTTTGGTTTTTCCAAATGATGGCTGCTAAAATTCTCTGAAACTCTTTCAGAACATTTCTTCTACATGTACAGTTTTGGTCTGATTTCAATAAGACAATGGTATACAAGCAGACTATACAAAGATACATCTCTTTTTTAAGTACACACCAATAGAGCTAAAGTTCTTCAGAGACTTTTATTCATTGTTAATATATCTATTGTCTGTAAGAAACTTTTAAAAGGACATGACAGGCTAAGGCCCCTTCTGTGCCCAAATTGTGGAGGGAAGGGGGGTGTCTTTCAGAACAATGCAATAGTTTATAATCAAAAGCTTTACTCATTTATATTTCAAAATGAGTAATGATATTAAGTAATAGGATACAAAATTGGTCACAGAAAGGATGCTGTTATTTTCTGAATTTTCTCTTTTTTATTCAAATTTTATCAATTTTAAGAGTCATTTTGTTTTGAAGCTTCTCTATCGACATGTATTAAATTTACATATTTCATACACTGGTATTGGATACACCTCATGTATGGAAATCTCAGAAATCTAATGAAATTTCATCAGAATTGAGGAATTTTCTAATTTTTCACATTCTTGTAGCCTCCATCTACACTTTAAATCAATACAAAATAAGCATCATTTGCAGTTATTGATTAAAAATTTTAACTGCATTTTGATTTTTATATAAAACAAGGACCATACCTTGTCCTTTATGTTTCTCCCACCATCTTTTCAAAGAAATTTTTTCTCAAAAAAAAAAAAAAATTACACTTCTTAGTTTTTTATGACCCAGTCTATTGCTCAATTCATAACACTGCACTTTATCAGAGATACCCTTTCTGAGACTGTAGACCTGTAATTCAGAATGATAAGCTCTACTTACTTTATGTTCATTTTTTGTAAAGATGTCAATATTCTTGTCCCTCCCATGTGAAGAGATTGAAAAAGACAACAGGACATGGTGGAAAAAACTGGAGGAGACAAGCCTGATGGATGTTGATCTTCCAAAATGTAGAAACAGCAGCTGCAGCCAACAGGACATGGTGGAAACTACTGGAGGAGACAAGCCTGATGGATGGTGATCTTCTAAGATGTGGAAACAGCAGCTGCAGCCAACAGGACTTGGTGGAAGCAACTGGAGGAGACAAGCCTGATGGATGTTAACCCCCTTCCCCCCTTCAAGACGTATCACAGTAGATAACTGACACTGATCAGGTATGTGACATAATTATGATCCAAGATCATCTTATTAATAAAAGTTCCAAATTACAATGGCTACAATTCAGAATAAATTAATATATCTTAGCTACAAATAAAGTGTTATACAATTGGTTTGAATATAAAATTGGGTTGAATTATACTCTGTTCTGTAATAATTTTAAGATCAAGCTTGTCTAGCTATCAAATTTACATATTTCATACACTGGTATCAGATATACCTCATGTATGGAAATCTCAGAAATCTCATGAAATTTCATCAGCATTAAGGAATTTTCTGATTTTTCACATTCTTGTAGCCTCCATCTACACTTTAAATCAAACAAAATAAGCATCATTTACAGTTATTAGTTACAAATATTAACTGCATTTTGATTTTTAGCTCACCTGAGCTGAAAGCGAAAGTGGGCTTTTCTGATCACGCATTATTTGTTGTCCATCCATCTGTCAGTCTGTATACTTTCACAGTTTAAACTTCTCAGGATATCACTGGGCCAATTTAGCCAGAGTTGGTACAAATCATCCTTGGGTAAAGGGAGGTGTAAATTTTTAAAATGAAGGGCCAAGTCCCCTTACAAAGGGAGATAATCAAAAAAAGACAAAAATAGGGCAGGGCCATTAAAAATCTCAAATACCACTGGGCCAGAAAAGCTGAAACTTATGTGGAAGCTTTCTGAGGTAGTGTAGATTCTAAATTGTTCAAATCATGGCCCAGGGGTAGGGTGGGGCAACAATAGAAATCAAATTTTTACATTGAAATATATAGGAATTTTTTTTAAAAATGTTCTTCTCAAGAAACACTGGGCCAGAAAAGCTGAAACTTATTTGGAAGCTTCTTTGGGGTAGTGGGGATTCTAAATCAAATTATGACCCCCGGTGGTAGGGTGGGGCCACAATAGAGAATCAAAGTTTTACATTGAAATATATAGGTTAAGTCTTCTCAAGAACAACTGAGCCAGAAAAGCTAAAACTTAGGTGGAAGCTTCCGTAGGTAGTGTAGATTTCAAATTGTTCAAATCATGACCCTTGGGAGTAGGATGGGGCCACAATAAGTATTACAAGGGGGAAATCTGGTTAAGAACAGCAGGGCCAAATTTACTCAGGTGAGCGTTGTGGTCCATGGGCCTCTTGTTATATTAAATATGGGCCATACCTTGTCCTTTATGTTTCTCCCACCATCATTTCATTGAAAAAATTTTCCCAACAAAAAAAAAGGAGAAATGGTACACATTCTTAATCTATTTTGTGTCCCAGTCCATTTTAAGCTCAATCAATGGCACTGCATTGTACATGTATCAGAGATTCCCTTTTATGAGTCTGTAGGCCTTTAACGCAGAATGATACATTTTTCTTACCTTATGTTGATTTTTTGTTAAGATGTGTCAGTATTTATAACCCCTTTTTGCCTCTCCCAGGATAAGAGATTGAAAAGATGCTTGAAGAACTATCTGGCAGATTGAAAGGAGCCCTGAAAGCATGGAATATTTCCTCAGTCTAATTGATATTGACTCTGAAAAAGTGCAGCTGGAGACAACAGGACATGGTGGAAACAACTGGAGGAGGCAAGGCTGATGGATGTTGAGGCGAGGTTGATTGATGTTAAGGCAAACCTGATGGAGAATGATCTCCCAAGAGGTGGAAACAGCAGTTATTCTCAACAGGCCCCAAGACCATAAAATGAAATAAATTTTGAAATAATTTTGATTACAAAACAAAAATTCCATGATTTGTTTGAATTTAAATGCTATACAAAACTGCAAATGATTAAGCAAATATGTTGCATGGATAAAACTCAGGATACCGTATTGGGAAAAAAATGTTCTTGGAGCCAGGACTTGATGGAAACAACTGGAGGAGACAAGACTGATGGATGTTGACATTCCAAGATTCGGAAACAGCAGCTGCAGCCAATAGGAAACAACTGGAGGAGACAAGGCTGATGGATGTTAACCTTCCCAACAAGACACATCACAGTAGATAACTAACACTGATCAGGTATGTGACATAATCATGATCCAAGATCATCTTATTAATAAAAAGTTCCAAATTACAATGGCTTCAATTTGGAATAAATCAACGTATCTTAGCTACGAATAAAGTATTACATAATCGGTTTGATTGATTGATTGTATGTTGCTATATGTCCTGTTCAAGAGCCTATAACTGGCTTGAAAGATACTACAAACTTATAAATAGTAGTGATTTTCAAAATAAAATGGAAAGATTGGCTTTTACTTAAGACTGAATCCAGGCAGTTAGAGACAACTTGCAATTCTTTGACAATTACTCTAGTACCAGTACTATAATTAGCAGATATCTTTCTTTCAAGCACTTTCACCCCCTTTCATCCTCTCTATTTCAATTGTCAATATTGTACAATTTTTGTATTGTTTATTATATCCATAAATAATATATTTTTGTATACCATATTTTAAATGTGTTTGTGACAATTGATATCAATATATTAAAAATCTTAGTAACTAGGTAAAGTTAATTTATATATAAGCCAACTGAATTTTTAGCCAGGCTCATTATGAGCTTGTTAGCAATAGCCAGCATTTGTAATCGTGATACCAGATATTCTGACTCTTCACACCCAAATTAAACTTTTGCTAAGAAATTATTGTTCATATACTCTAACTACTGTTAAGACAACTCAAACAAAGTTAAGTAAGGATTTTTCTAAACAAATAAACATTAATTTGTTATCGCTGTGAAATTCTTATCAAATTTTATTTCATTTCATTTTGACATTTATTTTATTTCTTTGGTTATTCATTATAACTCGGTTACCTTTTCCTACTTTTAAAAGTTATATGTTAGGGTTCGATATAAATAAACACCTGTACATTTACGCAGAATTGTATAGATTTATCATTGATATTACCGAATCTAAACATTAAACATTAAACAATTAACATCTCAAAGATGGGAAAGGGGGCTTGGGATACTTCTACAACACAGTCTATTGAATTAATTATTAATAAGTCAAAACAGGGATGTGAAAGGTATGAATTTCTTAGAATGTCGAGATACAAGGAGTCATCCGTGCTTGATAAGTGACCATCTGACAAACAGTTAAATTAGGTTTAGTAGAGCAGAAAATTGCCCCGATGTCGACATATACCAAGTAAATTTTGCTCTTGGGACTGTGAATATATACATTGAGATAAGCCGACATTACTGAGGTTGACTCGGAGTTTTTGCACATCATTTGTATAGCAAATACTGCTGGGACCGAGGACATATGTCGATATAAGTCCAGGTTGTTGACATATCTGATGTCGAGATACCAAAATTTACCTGTATTCCTATGTAAAAATTTGATCCCCCATTTTGGCCCCACCCTACCCCTTGGGGTCATGATTTGAACAAACTTAAATCTACACTGTATCTGAGGATGTTTCCATATAAATATGACTAATCATGGTTTGCTGTTCTTGAGCAGAAAATTTTTTGAAGATTTTTTCTTATATTCCTATGTTAAAAGAGCAAGAGCCACTTAGGGCCTTTTTTGGCCCTGTGAATTTCTAAAAATTCAAAACAGTATAGTTTTAGTCAACAAGGCAATAAATAATACTTGAGCTTTTGGTGAATGAATATCTCCTGAGAATGACATAATTTTCTTTCTAGTCAATACATTATGACGTCATGAATTGCGTCATTATTCACATATCCTGAATATTTCTTCAAAAATGGTCAAAATATGATGCCTTTTTTTAATATTTTGTATACAGCACAACCTCCGATCCAAAATATGTAAATATGTTATAAAAGAACTGTTAATGAAGATTATAAAACATATTTTAATTTTTGGATCGAGGGGTGTGCTCATATTTTAATTCTTTGCTGAAGGTTCTCAAAAACACCTGTTTTCTGCAAAATTCAATAACATTGCAATTTCACACAGCCTGTTTTTCAATGCCTGGACTCTTCAAAGGAAATTCTGTTATATAAACTGAAAGCACTAAGTCTCTACTTTAAATTAATGTTGAAAATGGTACACGCGGTATTAGTCAATAAATTGGTATATCTACAGGGCCATTTTATGCATAAAGTGAACCTAGCTCTTTGATCCCCCATTGTGGCTCCTCCCTACCCAGGGAGTCATGATTTCAAAACTTCAATCTACACTTCCTGAGGATGTTTCCATATTAATATGACTAATCATGACTTTGCCTTTCTTCTTTAGAAGAAACCCTGTTGTATATAAATCCTTAACGATACAAATTAAATGAGAATAAAATTTTCGTGAGCAGACAACCTCGCGTAATTACAAGAAAGTATAGTTCTCGTGAATAAAAAGTGATTAACAGTATGTATTTACTTTTTTCTGTATCTCAGATGTCGGCTTTATACAGTTCGAAGTTTATAGAGCACATATCATATCCTGTTCTGACAAAAAAAGCAAGTTACACATGGAACACTGGATAGAAACTTTGTAAAATTAGAAAGATTTCGATAATTATAGACAAAGAACACATTTTGTAAATAAGATTTTTAAAAATAACTCTTAAGATTTTGTAATAAAAAATAGAGGGATTGCTGAAATAAGACGAACTACTGTCTATTGAAGTCATGTAAATAATAAACTTGTCTTGCCTTGCTAAGCAGTGAAATCTTGGATGTCAAGTCTCCACTCTGATATTTCGACACTACGAATATCTCAACATTTTCTGAAAGTCCCATTGGTGTCGAGATAACAAAGTTTACCTGTATAATAATAGAAAAAATTGTCAAAAATCATCTTCTCAAGATCAGCAAGGCCATTGTAAGCCATGTTGAAACATCCTCAGGTAGTGTAGATTCAAGTTTGTTCGAATCATGACCCCCTGGGGTAGGGTGGAGTCACCGTGCACTATCAGAGTTTAACATATGGATGTATAGGAAAAAAATCTTTAAAGTAATTTTCTCAAGAACAACAAAGCAATGTGTAGTCACATTGACATGGAAGTATCTTGGACTACATCTATAAAAATCATGACACCTGTGGGTAGGGTGGGGTCACAATAGGGATAAAAGTTTTTCACAGGAGTATAAAATTAGAAAAAGCTGCTGATGAAGAATTTGCATCTTTCTAGAAATTCCACTTACTAATAAATGATAATCATGCATAAGCTGATATTGTTTGAAAAAAGACACTTGCATCTGACAGGTTAAAGAAGAGACTTCAAAGGATGGTGTTGATGAAGTTTTTCTTCAACAATGTGAAAAAGAGCCTTTGAGCCTAACAGGAATATTGGTTGTAACAACTGGAAAATGCAATGCTGACAGCTGATGATAGGGAATGAGCAGCGATAGCCAGACAGGAATTGGTGCAAAAAACCTGGAAACGGCAAGACTGATGGATGTTGACCCTTCAAGATGTAAAAATGAGCAGTTACAGTCAGACAGAAATAATTGGTAGAAAAACCTGGAGAATGGCCAGACTGATGGATGTGGACCCTCCAAAATGCAGAAATGAGCAGCAACAGCCAGACAGGAATTGGTGAAAACAACTGGAAAAGACAAGACTGAAAGGTGATGACCTTCCCAACAGTTACACTGTCACTGTTAAGGTATGTAACATAATCAATAATCTAACATCTCTTTTTGAAAAAAATGGAATATTAATTCTTAGAGCTATATAATATTTCACTTAGATATGTCTGTTCTTTTATTATACCCCTGCTCCGAAGGAGAGGGGAGTATACTGTTTTACCCTTGTGTGTCTGAATGTCTGTTTAGTTGTTTGTGTGTCCGTCCATAACAGTTTCTCAGCAACTATTCAATCTAACCATTCGAATCTGATGTCAACTTCCTGTTTATCCATGTGTCTGTCCATACCAAATATCCGTCACATTTTTCTCAGCAACTAGTCCGTGCAGATGCTTCGAATTTTAGCATACTCTTTGTTTAGGCATGTCATATGGTGGGATTCATTTTTGTTCGAATTTGTTGTCAATTTCCTGATTATCCGTGTTTCTGTCTGTACCAATTTTCTGTCACAGTTTTCTCAGCAACTACTCAGTGCTGACACTTGAAATGTTAGCATACTCTTTGTTTAGGCATGCCATATGGTGGGATTTATATTTGTTTGAATCTGATGTCAACTTCTTGTTTATCCTGGGTCTGTCTGTATCAAATTTCCATTGAAGTTTTCTCAGCAACAGATGCTTGAAATTTTAGCACACTCTTTCTTTGGGCAAGTCATATGGTGGGATTCATTTCAACATAAGAGGGTATATTCACATCAGAGTGGGGATATATTACAAATTTTAGTTAGCATTTGTTCACATATATCTTGTTAATTTCTGTTTTATACTTGAATTGATGCTGAAGAATATAAACTATTTTATAGTGTGCTTTGATGATATGGTGACAGTACCCAGTAAGAGAACGCAGAGGAAGTTATGTTGGTGTGCTTCACATAATGAATAACAAGGAGCCCTCAGGTATGGAAGTTACCCAAGTATGTCATTCTGTAAGACTCTGTTCTTCATTTTATTTCATCGGTTCTAATTTTGATTAATTACGGTAATTACTTTTTTCTCATTTATTGACAGAAAATTAAAGTATTGAAGAGGCAAATCCTTGTGATTGTATTTGGAGAAAGACAATGTAGAAAGCCTGATCTGTGAAGCACACACAAGTACATCCAAAACAAATTTTTTTGAAGCATTTGTTTTGGAAATGGGTGTCTGAGTTGTAAGAGGGTATGGGGTCGCCCACTCAGACACGTGGGTTTTCTCCGGGTGCTCCGGTTTCCTCCCACACTGACCCCATTCTTTTTCTCTATGCCAATGAGATAATATGTTAACTTTGAGAATATTCTAATGTAAATATCTTTTATTATCTATTGTTTTGCTCTAATGTTATTTTATGTTGTTCATTATATTTTTTATTATAAAATGTTTAGATGAAGTAGTTGAAAGCTAGTTGTTTAGTAGGCCTTGTCGATACCCTAGGGCATTACTGGTTGGAACTTCATGGGTCCTTGGCCGCTACGGTTGCCAGGCTGGCCTGGGGAGGAGAGGTTGAAAATGCAACTAGTCGTAGGCTGCTTTGTCTTTAATAATCTTTTTATTTTATCTGAAATTAAACAAATTAAATATGCTGCAGATGTAATCATTGTTCAATATTAAATTAGTATTCCTGTAATGTACAATTTCTGTCAGCAGTTGTACCAGTAATAATTTGTATAGTTGATTCTGATTATTAAGTTATTGTGCAATTAAATGATTGCATTTACGTGTATATATACTGATGTGACTAAATATGCAGGAAAAGTAATTGACAAATTTTGATGTGAAATTATGATTTGCATTTGAAAATGTTAAATTGGGATTTGAAAATGTTAAATTATGATTTGTTAATGTTAAACTGTGATTTGTAAATGTTAAATTTGGATTTGTTTATGTAAAATAATGATTTGTGAATGTCTGATTTCATTGGCAAGTTTTGTTTATGTAAAATAATGATTTGTGAATGTCTGATTTCATTGGCAAGTTTTGTGCAAAAACAAAAAAAAAAATGAAAAAAAACAAAAAACAAAACAAAACAAAAGCCAAAAGAAAAAAAAGAAACAAAAAAAAAGAAAGAAAGAAAGAAAAGAAAAGAGAATATTAAAAAAAGCCAAAAAAAAAACCAACAACAAAAAAAGCCAAAAAAAAAAAAAGAAAAAAGAAAGAAAGATAGGCAAAAAAAAAAAAAGATTTGAATGAAAAAAAATATTTAAAAAGGAGCAAAACAATAAAAGCACAAAACTTTTAATGCTGCCTGTTTGAATTAACATATTTGCATGTTTTTTCAAGCAGAAGGTTCCAAGCCCTTAAAAGCAGAGGAGAAGTTTTGATATTATATATATAGATTACATGACATTACTGAATATATGGAGTGCCAAATTAATGTAGACACAACTGATCATAGGAATTTTTTAATCATTAGAAGATATAATTTAATTTGATGTGTACAATGCATCAATTCAAATATTATTTTTAAAATTCAAATCTCTTCAAATAATTACTAGTAAAGATATATATATCTTCAATTCTGATTTTTTTTTTTTTGGTGCAGTATTTGCTGAAATGAGGTGCAAAATCATTTTTTCCAGATGCAACATTGTTGCCTTCTTCAAAAAATTGATTATTATCAGAAGTTGAATTAATGCCTGCAAAAATTAAAAGAGGAAAATGGGCCACGATGCTCATCTTAATTATATTGATCCTGCTGTTCTTGAGAAAGAGATTTTTTAAAGCATATTTAGGTCATCTGAATTACTTCGACTTTTAACATTACTATTTATTAGTAAATGTATTATATTTAGAACCCAGTTTTAAAGAAAATGTTTTATATATTTCCATCAAATTAATACACTTATACAAATTGGTAAGCAGTATTTAACTGTGACATAATTTTTTGACATTAACCTTCCCTGGGTGACCTTAAACTCACTACTTGTACTAATGTTAAACAAAGAAGAGGGTTTATTTTCATGTTGCATTACTAATGAACCCTAGCTGGGGCATTTGAGTCCTATGGACATATTTCTAGTTTTAGATTTTTCCAGAGATACCGGTATTCTTTAGGGGCCATGTTTCAAATAAACCACATGGGGATATAATATCGTCTATCATTACTCTGCTGCATCTGATCAAAGTTTTACATAGGAATACATAGGAAAAAATCTTTGAAAATCTTCTTTACAAGAACAGCAAGCCATGTTTAATCATATTTATAAATTGGTCCTTGGGTAGTGTAGTTGTGTAGATTCAGATTTGTTCAAATCATGACCCCTGGTAGAATGGGGCTGCAATGGGGGATCAAAGTTTTACAAAGGAATATATAGGAAAAAATCTTGGAAATTATTCTTCTCAAGAACAGCAAAGTCTTTTTGAGTCATATTAATATGGAGAAGCATCCTCAGGTATTGTAGATTTAGGTTTGTTCAAATCATGACCCCAGGGGGTAGGGTGGGGCCACAATAAGGGATCAAAGTTATAAAATAGAATAAAAGGGACATATCAATAAAAAATTTCTTCTCCAGAACATCAAAGCCATGCAGTCTTATTAATCAGAAGCATCCTCATAGTAGTTCCAAATGTGTTCGAATCATGTCCCTGGAGGTAGGACAAGACCTCAATAGAACATCAAATGTCGGAACTACATTTATATTTAAGCTATTCAATACTGAACTGATTTCTGCTTTTTCCTAGCCAAAGTGCTCAGGTGATCAGTGTGGTCCATGTGCATCTTGTTTACAATATGCTAAATACTGGTAGTATATGCTTGTAAATATAGATCCAAGTATGCCAAAACCATTCTAGCTCTCAAACGGTGATTTAATGCAGAAATATTTCATCAGTGTTAGCAGCTAGTATATTGAATTTTTATCTGTTGCAAATTTATAGAAAAGTTTTGTCCTTTGGAATTTGCTCTTCTTTGCTGAAATTGAGATAACGATTTGTAATTGCAGACAAATATATATGCTTCAGTATCAGGCATTTGATATTGGCTTAGCCCTGCCCCTTTTTCCCCAACTGTAATGTTTTACCTTTTAGTTTTAAAAGGTGTTCATTGAAAGCTGCCCCCTACTCTTTTTTAATTTGTTGCAGTATGGTGAATTCCTCTCATGATAATGTATTCAAATTTTTTCTGGTCAAAAAATTCTCTCTGACTCTCTCTCTCTCTCTCTTTGGTCAATTTTTTTTTTATGCAAGTTTTTCATATTTGTCTTGCTAAAACCCAGGCTCACTTTCCAAAAAAAAAAAAAAAAAAAAAATGATAATATGTGCTTGGAATTTAATATAAATATGGGAACGGTTATCTGTGGTGGCATATTTTATTTTAAAATGCTGAAATCCATAAACTCATTCTTTTAAGATTTTATTTCCCATCTCAACTCCAAACATTTCTATCAACTTTGAATGAACAGTGTTGGTGTATAAAGAATTCATTGCTGTTGATTTATCAATCTTAATACCCTAGCCAATTCCTTTAAAAATGGTCATATGAACTTCAATAACAAAAGAAATCTTTAAATTAATATCATTTTTCATCCTTGGGCTTGGGGAAAACTTCCTTTTCTGGCTAAAGAAAATCATATTGCTAAAACATATATAGGTCCATGTATATATTTTACATAGTTCAAGTCTAAATCTTGCTTTTTTCAGGGAAAAAAGGAAAAGTTGAGTAAAAAAAACCTCCTCCATTGACATATATACAGAACATGTAATAGGACAAAATGTAAAAGTTGCACTCCTTTAAAGAAAAGCCATGGAGGGGCTACGGGTTTGGAAAGAGCTTTAATTTCTTTACCAAGGGACAATTTAATGTGAACCAGAGGAAACTTTGAATCATAGATTAAAAATTCATTGCAATATTACCCCTGTTTGTAATTAGCAAGGGTAAGTGCATGTAGGCCTTTAGGATATATTGTATACTTTTTTGTTTATTATAAACTTTATTACTACAGCTAACATAAATTAATATTATCCCATGTGTTTAAACTAAACATGAAACTAATACAGGCATTGTGAGACATGTGCGCATAAAGTGACCCCCAAATAATTATTCTAGGGTCTGGCAAGGGGTCTTGTTTCACAATTGAAAGAGATGTTCATATTCTTTTAATCAATAAGTCGATGACAGCTATAGGAATTGGCATACATGCACGTATTTACTTCAGAATTAATTATTTGTGAAAATTCATTTCCTCACAACAGCTGAGCACAATGACAGTCCACGTGTTACATTGTCAGTGAATCTTTTTTAACCTTCGTCCTTCTTTAAAAAAATTAAAAAATAGTGTATCAGCATTTGTCTGCCTTTCACGTGCTGATCAGTCACACATAATGGGGGCTTTCCCTGATCTATTTTTAATTCCCCGTCATTGGGAGTGGCGTGGTTATGAGAGTAAAATCTAAAATGCTGCAATGACGTTAAAATCATTCTGAATACTTGAATAACTTGCAAATGTATACCATATAATGAACATCAAAAATGAGAGAGAAAAAATTAAACATTCTAAATCATCATATTTCACAACCAATACTGTCTCCTGGTTGGAACCCCTCATGTTCACCCTTACGTCAGCGTTACAAGCAACTTGGACTTTGAACTCATGTTTTTATCGACGTCTAGCAGTGTACGTGTATAAAAGCAGCAGATCAACGAATACGAATAATTTCGTCTTTTACAACCAACTGAATAAGTGATCAGGTATGTACTAATGCATAGCGAAGTAATATTATCAGATTATAGAGACCTTCGCTTCATTTGTTTGAAGAACACTCTTTTCTTTTGTGTTCAATATATCTAGGAAAATTCCAGAAGTTAAATTATTATAATAATGATGAAAGCTGGTTTTCACAACTGCACAAGATTTCTAATTGTTTTAGATAATTAAGCCAGGTATTTTACTAAAATATATGATTTGAAGTCTTAAGTTAATAGAATGTGTTGCTTACCTTAATATACTGTCTTTTAAAATTCATGGGGGGGGGGGGGGGGGGGCTTCCTTTGAAAAATCCGTTCAGATTTTTTTTTTGAAATATCATAAACAGCAAGTTAAATTGTGCATATTAGGTAGGAAACATAAGTGTAAAATGCATGTTATTTAGGGCAAAGTTGTAAAAGGTAGATATATCCATCTTTTTGACAGTTTCATGTACAGGAGGAGTATAATGGAACCAGAAAGAGACCAGGAGCAGTTCGTCAGCCGTTTGGCCAGTCTTCCAGTGGTCAGTACTGCGGTCACTCAAACATGCAATCTGTATCAACGAACCAAGGAAAGCAACCAGCTCTTTCGTGCATCGCTGAATCTGGCTGAATCCAGCATCAAAACCGTGGCTGAGACTTCGAAACCATACCTGGAGAAATACCAACCCCAGCGTAAGTCCAGTACATATGTTTGACAGAGGGATGTAATTTTAATTTGATAAATGTTGGACAAATATAAAACGAGATTTATGCTGTATGAGATAAGTAAGCATAATATTATACATGGTTAATTAAATTTTAAACTTTTTTTAGTGGATGCCGTGAACAAGATTGCATGTGACCAGTTAGAGAAACTGGAAGAGAGATACCCAGCTATTACCAAACCTACTGACGAGGTCTGTTGTTATTTTTTTGTAACTTCAAAGCAATTCTTTATCCAGTTATTTTTTTAATCAATTAATATCAATATTTTCTTTGCTTTTGGAATATATTCAATATGTTTAATGTTTGGTCATAATTTGTTGAACAGCTGGTTAATGATGGAAAGGAGGCATGCCAGGCCGTCCTTAAGCCGGCCATCGACAGAGTGAATGCAGTAAAGCAGTATGGCTCTGAAAAGTACAACCAAGGAAAGGAACAGGTTAGTAATCAATTAAAATACAGTCCAGAATTATTAATGACAGGAAAGTAAAAGAAATGTAGATGTACATGCACACAAGGAATACAAAAAGTTTATTATTTAGAAATATTCCATTATTAAAAATTATGATACCAGTTGTCTCCAAATTTAGAACAAATGAATTAAAATAGGAAAATATCTCTGATACTGTTATTAGGTAGATAAAGTAATGCAGTTTGGACAGAGTACAGTACAATCTGTGAAGGATATGGGGATGACAGTGGTGTCCAAGTCGATGGAGACTACATATGGTCAGTTTGTGGCAGAGAAAATGAATGATGCCCTCACTGTCTCTGAGGACTACATCAACAAATACCTGCCACCAGAGGAGGAGGAAGAGAAAGAAAATGGTAGGTTACATAGATACAGGAAGTTAAAAAAAATATTGTGTGCTTGAAAAAAAAATCTTTTTAGATTTTACACAGCTGTTATCTTGTACAAGTCATAAAAAATAGTTATATCAGATACTGAGTCTTCTTAAAGATTGAAGAGATATATTCATAAAACAATTCTGGTGGATTTCTACAAATACATAAGAGATTTTCTGCAGATATTTTATATGTAGGTTTATATGGATTCTGTTTAGCAACAGGTGACTCGATTACTTACTTTTGTTGCCTTTTTTTCAGAGACCGAGAAGGAGGAAGTGGAAATGGATGAATATCCGCAGGACCCAGTGTCCAGAGCCCAAACTCTGACCACCAAAGTCCGCAGACGAATGTACAAACGAGCGGTCAAGGAATTCAAAGGGATACAGCTCCGTAGCAAGGAAAACCTCCAGAAACTCAACTTCACTGTTGACCTGGTAAACACTGATTGTAATTTTTATATCATGTATGAAAATGCTGAAAACAATAAAATGAATACTCCTTATATTAATTTGAATGTGCTTCTTGTCAAATTATCAGATTCAGTATGCAAAAACAAATATGGACTCAGCTAAGGAAAAGTTGGGGGAAACAGTTGAAGCTACACAGAACAAAATCTCCAGCACCTGGTCAGAAATCAAGGCAGAGAACCCTGACTTACCTGATGTAAGTACAAGTGCTAATCTAAGTTTTGTTGCCATTAAATGCCAAATTTTCCCACCAGGGACAAAGAAAAGAGAGAGGAAATTTTTTATTCCATATGAACCTTACAGCTGAACCATTTTCTATTTTAAAAAAAAATGAATGTCTGCCTGCATTCAGGTATATCATTTATCTGTATATATTAATGTTTTCTTCAAGATGAACTGCTTTGTAAACTTAAAGCTGAACACAACTCGTAAAAAGGCATACGCCATTTTCGATATTACTATCTTAGATATCAGCACCAGGGTATACTCTTCGCATTCGTTACACCTGACTGCTTTATTGTCACGGGTATCGGCGTGGAATGGCGACCCGTATTAGTGCTGGTCATCTTGCATTCCTTTTGTTTACATTTTATGTCAGTTACGTATATTTGTGTTTGTATACTGCACTGACCTTTGCAACTGTTGTAATTATATATAAGTGTCTTTGGTATCTTACTCTCCTGCATTAAAAGAAGAACAGTTATTTTTGTCGCTACCAAGTGCTGTATAGCATACGTCCCGTCTACACCGATGACGATTGATTACACTGAACAGTGACTAAGTGAGTTGCTTTATATATAGGGGCCCTCAGATACAGCTCGAATCTGATCGAATATGGCGGACACATTCTTTTTACGAAGCGTGTTCAGCTTTAAAATGCAAAATTATGTTTTTGCTAGTTGGTGAACAAAGCACATAAACGTTGATGAAGCAATTAAGACATGCTACATGTGTCTTTGTCCTTGTGAGTGGCATGTCCATGTCCTTGTTGGTATATGTCAATCTTCTAAGGGTGTTTATCTGCAAGATATCAACCTTGGCATGTTTATGAATTGATTATTTGCTATTTTTAGAGTCCTTGATAATGCATAAAAAGTACAAGGTTATTCACATGCATTGCAAAACAAAGTGCATTTTAATTTGAAGGACATTCACCAACTTTATGAGATTATGCAGCATAGAATTGCATCATAAATACCCCCTGGTAATGATTTTACCAAGCTGAAAAAAAATGATTAAGTTCTTATTGAATAACAAGATGTTCCTTTTGACTGAAAGATTTATATTTTTTCAGACTGTAGAGGGTAGAACAATCGCAGTCGCACGTCATGTGAGCCAGCAACTACAACAAAGCATCACAAGAGTTACCTCCCTGTTACCAGACTCCCTCCAACCTAAAGCTGTACAAGAAAGATTACACGATGCCAAGGCTTTTACAGAAGAATTATACCAGTCATTTCAAAAAGTAAGGGTCTTTGATAATAAGCAAAATGGTCTATAGCAAGAAATCACTTTATTTACTTCATGTATCTTAGTAAAATATGATTAACTGATCTGATTTATATACATTTTCCTATCATATGATGGTGAAAAGCATATTAGTTGAAAAAAAAGGAATAATTTATATCCAACATAACCATTGGACTTAATTTTTTTTAAAGGTTGAGAGATATGAAGATGTTCCAGCTTGGGTTTTGACTCAGACCAAGGAGAGGGTGGCCTATTTACAGGAAACTCTCAGTTTCCTGACAGAGAAGCTTCTAACAGGCCCTCTTAACTGGCTGGTAGGTACACCATTGTAAACTGGGACAGAATTTAGAATTGGCTGATTGTTCAAAAACAAACATATAATTCTGCAGTATTTTATCACAATTATTATTATTATTTTTTATTTATTTATTTTTTTTTTTTTAGTTATTTATGCCCCATGCTTTTCGTTCAAACAGCCAATACTAAATATTAAATGTTTTGCATTGTGTCTTGCATGAACTAACTTTGATTTTTTCCTTAATCCTTTTTGTTGTTACATGTATGTAAAAAATAGAACTAAAGGTTCCATTTCCTTGTCAAAATTTAGTCATTGCTGGATATACATCTTAGATATTTCCTAAGCAAATTTATTTGAAAAAAAAAAAAAAAAACATTTCTTGTAAAATTGGGTGAGAAAGTTTTTATGATAAATTAAATGCATTTTCATTTCAATTCAGTTTCAAGTTAATTGTGCCCATTGCATCTTCCACAAACTCATTTATGCTGTTAGTACCATGCTGAAAACATATTGCAAGAAAAATAAGGAAATGGCAGATTTAATTGAAAATTTAAGCTTACTCTAAGCACAATTGCATAAGCTAGATTTTTTTTTCAATTTAAAAAAAAAATTGTCTATGATATCAGTGTCATATACTAAACTCGAGTAAAATAAAACATAAAAAAAATAAGGTGCAATTTTAAAATAAATTTACTTGTAATATGTACATGTGAGAGTGTGCTTTAAATCTTCCTCCTCCTCTTCATTTTCTTGACTTTTTTCTGATTTGTCCAAATAATTTCCCAGAAGTGTGTTTGAACATGAAAGACCCAAAATTGTTTTGTGTGATTTTTAATTTACCAATATAGCAAATAATATTGCAGATAATACTTTTTAAATTCCTGTGAATATAAAAAAAAGTCTTATACATTGTGAGAACCAACACTCTAAAAAAAATTGTTGAGTAGCTCCTAACATCTTTGTACCGGTACTTGATTCATTTCCTTGGGTGTGGTTTCCCATGCTGTTAATTTTTTGACTTTCTACAGTTTATATAACATGGTGGAAGTTTCAACTTTTAATACAAGTACCCTTCCTCATGTGTTTATGATAATTGTATTTTATTAATTCATTTGTTTATGTTTCTCTTTATTGAAGTTCATTGTGAACAAGATTAAGTTTACCCAGTTAAAAAAAAAGATCAAAAGAGAGGAAAATGTATTCTGGTGGTGTAGGTAAATGCCTAATAATCTGAAACCTTGAAATTCTCAGACATCTTGTTATTAAAGTGGGGATATCCCATTTGAATATCATACTTACTACTCCAGAGTTTACTAGCTCCATGTCATTGACAATCTACTCCAGTCCAAACCAAACTACGATTGGACATTTTGTATTTGCATTCACTAATATTGTCCTGGTAGATGTAGGTTGAGCATATTATACATGTAACATCATGTCAGTGCCAGATTATCATTTATCATCTTGTTTGAAAAGGAGGAGCTTTCCTCCTTCATTTTAATGCAGAACTGTCACTGAGTGTATAGATACATTTCATGATAGCAGTTGCCTACCCAAAGCCAGTTCAATAATGAAAATGTTTTCCTATTTTATTAGGGTTGGAAAGGATAAGAGGAAAAGGTTGAAGAGAAAGTAGAGTGAATATGAGGACTTGTGACACGATTAATGCTGTGATTTCTATACTCCACTAAATACAGACATTTAAAATTTTGAATTTCTTATATCAATATTTATCAGTTGTTGATTCTTTGCAAAAGAGTTTAGTAACTACACTGGAAATAATTGCTATTTTTTTTTTTTTTTTACAAGTAATTGAACTAAAATATAACAAACTATTGGGAAAAAAAGATATATCGAATTTGGACCCTTTCGTGTTCAAACATACATTTTTTGTTCCTTTTGCTTTTCTTGTTCTCGATCCTTTAAGTTTTGACATCAGGCATGAATAAATATTGCTATAAATGTTTGCATGTGTTATTTTTCTCAGACCAATTATTATGGAGGTATCATCAATTTTTTTATTTTTATAAAATATTTAATTTCAGATACCCTTTGCTTCAGTCAAAATTGCCATTTGCATATAAAAATTGTTCTAGCATGAAAAATATTTACATTCAAACAGATAAACAAGCTTATGAAGCAGAAAGTGTATAAAATGATGTAGTCTCCTGATTACATGTACCATCACTTCATTATTAAATTTGAAATGGACATCAGAGGACAATTTTATTAAGACTGCCATTGTAAAAGATGGCCAAATGGTACCATTATGCATATGCTTTGAATTTTGCATTTTTGCATGTCATTTGCATAAAAATTGCAAACTGAATCAGGTACCCTGTAAAGGAAACTATTAAATTGCTAGTAATTCTCTTAAGAATATTACCAGTAAATTCCTTTAGAACAGAAGATCAACAACATAATCCTTAGCTGTAATGTTGAACAAGATGAAAACTTTCCCTTTGTATTTTATCAAGGGTCAGGCATATAGTAGCTCAGTTGAAACGAAGGCTCAAGTGAGCTTTTCTGATCAAAATTTGTCTGTTGTCTGTCATCATCATTGTCATATCATCGTTGTTGCCTTTGTTGTCTCCATAAACTTTTTACAATTTCATCTTCTCCAGAACCTCTTGGCCAATTTAAACCAAACTTAGCTCAGAGTATTCTTGGGTGATGGGGTTTCAGGTTTCTTCAAAAGAAGGGCCACACCCTCTTCCAAGGGGAGATAATTAAGTTATAGTGAAAACTGGGTGGGGTCATTTAAAAATCTTCTCAAAAACTACTAGGCCAGAAAAGATGAAACTTGAGTGAAAGCTTTCCAACATGGTGAAAATTTAAGTTCATTCAAATGATGATTGGTAGGGTTGAGACACTAAGGACAATCACATGGAAATATAAAGGAAAAATGTTTAAAAATCTTCTTCTCAACAACAGCAAAGTCATGAATGGTCATAATTATATGGAAGGATCCTCAGGTAGTGTATATTCAATTTTTGTTCAAAGCATGATCCCCTGGGATAAGGTGGGCCACAATTGTTGATAAAGTTTGTACATAGAAATACTTCAGAAAAATTTTAAAAAATCTTTTTCATAAGAACAGCAAAGCCATGATTGGTCATATTGATATTTGATAAGCATCCTCAGGTAATATTTAAATTCAAGTTTCTTCAAGTTGTGACCCCCCTGGGATGGAGTGGGGCCACGATTTGTGGTCTAACTTTTACAAAAGAATATATAGGGGAAAAGGATCTGTGAAGAAGAGAAAGGGCATAGTTACTCAGGTGAGTTTGTGGCCCATAGGCCTCTTGTTAAAGGGGGAGGCCAGTCAGAAAACTTACCAGAAAAATCTATGACAAGCCAAATTAAAAAAAAATAATAATAAATGAATGAATGAATGAATTAATTAATTAATTAATTGTCCGAAAATATGACAAGCAAAAAATTTAAAAAAAAAAAGTAAATTGTCCAAAACTCGAAAATCCCACTTCGGTAATATTACATTGGATCCCTCTCTCTAAAAATATATTGTTTTTCGGTAGCGTTTTTGTCTTTATTACTTTTAGTTCTTTTAATTATCTAATCCCGCTATTCATCGTCAATCGCGAAACATGCACAGACCCACCCCCCGGTCCCCGGAATTTTACAGTTATTTAATTTCTGTGCAGAAGGAACAGAAAAATGACTTTGGACCCCTCTTTTTAAGTGTTTTATTTACCTTATTCTACCCCCTTAGCACGGAATAGGGTTTTTTAAGTTTATGGCATTTTTTTTGCTTGTTAATTCAAGAATCTGACATTTGTTTGAGTTGATATGTCCCACCCCAACCCTGGAAATAATACGCGTAGTTAAATCATTGTAATTTAATACTGCTGCAACTTTGAGGGTTATGGTCAAACTGCTTTTAAATTCGGACTTACATGAAAACACTGGTGACATACGTTAATTAACTACTATATAGTATGACCCCCCCCCCCCCCCTAAACACACAACATACTTTCTTCCATCAGCGTGGACAGGCATCAAATTTTTCCGATAATTAACGGCTGGAATATTTAAATATTCCGACAATTGTTCTCATAATTAATGTCATATAGAGACTACTTACTGGACGTGTTAGTGAATAAATCTAGCTTTAAATAAACACAATTCAATACCAAAGAAGCAAACTAAGCACATTATTTCCATCATGCATTCTTTTTTTTTTTAACAAAAAAGCTTTATCACCATTTGGAACTCTTTTAAAAAGCTTTTTAAAGAAAATATTTATCCTTGCTTAATTCTATACTGGAAATACCTTTTCATGGTAATTCCACTTAACAACACTGAATGCTTTTTTCCCTCAACTAGAGTCAAACTTCTTGCAACATGTCAAAGTGTTTTACAAAGACACACATAGTTGACAATTCTTCCATTACAATCCTAACAAGTGTATTTTTTTCCTTTGAAGTCGATGGATTTAGAGATTGAGGACCTGAACCTTGAGGATCCAGAATATCATCCGGATTGTAATGGTCACGTGCCCAATCTGTCTACTGACAACAATGGCCGATTTGTTATGAATTGATCAATATTTTATATGTAAAGCAAAAACTCATCCCTCTCTACTTACATTCATCGCTTTTGTTTTGTTTTTTCCGAACTTCTTATTTATTTTAAATGTAATTTTTTGGGACAATATTAAAAAATGAAGTACTGAAGCTAAACTCACTGTTAATGTGCATACTCTGAAAATCTGCATGAATGGAACACAATACGTATTAATGATAATAAACTTCAGCTTTATAAAACATAAAATTATTTAACAGGAAACTCAGGATGAATCTGAAATCCTTATAATTTTGTATATATCATCAGTCATCTGAGGAAAGAAGGTAAATAGTATAATATATACTGTATTTGTGATATTTTGTGGAAAGTTGGATCCAACATTTTGTTTGACCTGTGTGAGACAAAGCTTTATTCACTTTGTAAATTCATGTATAAATAAAAATGATATGTACTGAAACTAAGTTTTCGTAGTCAAAGAACACACAATATTATATTAATTTAGTGACGCTTTGTAAATTAAACACAATAGGTTCACTATTTTTGTCCCAGAAATTCATACACTGTGTGGAACACGTTCGTTTCCGGACGATATCTCGAAAAACCTTTGAGCATTTGCAATGACATTTTATACCACAACTCCCTATGGCCTAAAAAGACCACTGTTGATTTTAGGTCAAAAGGTTAAAGATCAAGGTCATAAATTTATACATTGCAAACTACAGTTTCTAGATAATAACTTCAGGTTTCTTTGAGCCCTTTTTCAACGAAATGTAATTTCACAACTTCCTGTGGCCTAAAAAGACTGCTATTGATTTTGAGGTCAAAGGTCAAGGTCTGAAATTACATACATTTTTTTAGCAACACTATGTTTCTAGAGATATTTAAGGTCAAATGTTCAAGGTCAGAAATTCATATCTTGTATATAATTGTTTCCTGGTGATAACTTTATTTCTCTTTGAAGTTTTGCAATTAAATTTTATACCCTTAGTCGACCCATATTTATTTTTAGGCCAAAAGCTGAAAGGTCATGGTCGACTTTTCTTTTCTCCGCAAGATTTTTCAGATCTTCCACCCTCTTCCTTTTCCCTTAAGCGGGGACACAGAATTAGCCTTACTTCTGATTTGGCATTACATGTTTTAAAGAATACAGTTGTAGAAATTGCTCGTTTTTCGCCTGTTTCATGAAGTACATGTCGTCTTGGTTTAGAAGATTTGTTTGTTCTTTATATTTGTTTCGTATTACATGTTCGTGTATGAAGTTAGTTTCTTCCGAGTATTTTTTGTGCTTTTCATTTAAAATGTATAATGTGCAATAAACAATTTTTGAAAAAAGCAGTTTTGTTTAATTTTTAGCTCAACTGGTCAGAGACCAAAAGAGGTTATGCGATAGTAAGGTGTCCTTCATACGTCCGTCTGTCCAGCTGTCTGTCCGTCTGCAAACACAATTGTTATTTTATTCCAGTTTATATAATTCTGGCTGGGATCAGTTTAATTTTGATCTGGGATTGGTCCAAGTTTGAAAATTTGCATGGTTTCTAAATTTCTTTAAAATACATTCAAAACCCTACTCCTATAGTTTTGGTGTGATTTTAATATAACTTGGCACATAGGTAGACTACACTAAGAAATAATTCTGTATATCGGTTTTTCATTTCGATGAACTGTGTTATCATTGTTACTAAATTTATGTGAAATACTTTCAAAACATTACTTGTCCTATAGTTTTGGTGTGACACTCAAGTAGACTACACTAAGATACATAATTCTGTATATCGGTTTTTTATTTCCATGAACTTTGTTGCCATGGTTACTAAAAATAGAAATTTCTGTGAAATGCTTTCAAAAACGCTACTCTTCCTACAGTTTTGGTGTGATTTCAATATACTCGTAACTTGGCAGACAAGTAGACTACACTTAGAAACATAGTTCTCTTTATCAGTTTTTGATTTTCGATAAACTGTGTTGCCATGGTTTACTAACATTTGAAATTTCCGTAAAATTCTTTCAAAAAGCTACTCCTACAGTTTTAATGTGGTTGCAATAAAAATTGCCACAAAAAGAAAAGATTATTCTGTTTATTGTCGTTACAAAGTTTCAAATCCGAGTGCTACTTTTCTCTTCCTGTGTTATAAGTACAAACCAGTAGTGCTACATTCTCGTCAGAGTCTTCTGGTTGACTTTAGTTTAAGGACATACGCAACGTACCTTACCTACTGATAATTTTTCAGATATTCTTAATTTAAGATTATAGTGCCATCAGATGTTCGTAGACAAAAGATATCAATTGATGAAAATTCTTGTATAATTCAAAGAAAAATATACAAAAATTTCTAAAGATATATTCTAGATGTTTTGTTCATCCAAACTTGTTTTACAAGAGGTGTACAACAGCATATATAGACATTAAAATGTAGCACAGAGTTCGAAACTCTTCAACTCCAATGAAAAAGTTCAAACTACGTTGCGTATGTCCTTAATATGGTAGAGGACAGAAAGGGGCAAAATGACTCACTGATGATTGCTTTGTATGTGTGTTTGTCACAGATATAGCATTTTCAATGAAGTTCCTACATTTTGGTACAAATTAAGATATATCGGCTTGGCCAAGATCAGGTGCCCATGTTGGTTGCAGATTAGTCAAAAAATTAAGTCAAATGAAATGTATTATAAGTATGTTCTATGTAACACTACATCCTTTCGGCAAATTGTCTGAAATTTCTGTCCATTTCTGTCAAGCGGTTAAAAAGATTTCACTCTTACTATAGCAGAGACCCAAGTGGGCTACGGACTATACATATTCAGGCATAACATTTATCTTTATCATATTCAACTTAACAAAATAAGTATAATTCAAATAAAAACTCAAATAAAAACTTCACAAAATATTGTCTGAGCAAAAAAATCACATAATTCATTTCCATTTAAATGTTACCGTATATAAAGGACATGGGTAAATTTGTTAATCTTTGAGAGTTTTTCTACTCTTAATATTTGGACATTTGAAATAAAGATACATTAAAGTACTTTCAATTTTTTCTAAAGATACTGTATATGGGGATGAAAATTTCAAACTTATTTGGTAATACTCAGAGAAAAACTGTGTCAGATATTTTTTGATTGACTATTTTGAGACCTTGGGCTACGGACTATACATATAGTATTTTCATTTAATGATAGACCATAGAAAAATAGTTGCTTTATTCAGTAAATATTTGTTAAAATTATCATCTTGGAGTTCACACGTGTTTAATAAATCCTTTCATTTGGATACTACGGTAAATCAATTTATACAAAATCCTGTGAAATTTAACAAAATAATACAAAAACTTTCTATAAATTCACAATAAGAGTAAAATATAAATATTCGGAACAAAATAATACATGTCAGAATTACATGTAATTGGTGTTTTGATAATAAAATATTGTTTAAAACCATCTAAAGACCAAAAATGAGCTTTAATTTAGCATCTAAGAAGGATGAATGTCATGTGAGCACGGGGGCTACGGACTATACCGTTCAACATCTCTATTGTGGACAATCATCTTAAAGAAAATATAATTGTTTAATTAAATTTTGGGCAATTTTTTTTATTAATTGGTTTTCTATAACAGTTCACACCGCTTAGTTTGAGTATTTATAATACCATACTTAAAAATCAATTGTCTAATGTACTATGTACTTTCAATGCCAAATGGAATTCCAGTTCAACTAATTAAAGCATAATTGTGTTCAAACTATAATGAATAAATGCAACAGGAGCTGAAATTAAATCATGGCATGATTTGTGTGTGTGTGTGTGTGTGTGTGTGGAGGGGATACGGACTATATTGCTTCATTTTTTTTCCGATTTAATGTAATGCATATAACTCAAGACGGTCATTCAAAAGGAGTATCAGTATATAATTTATCATAATCATCTGGTGTATTAAAAAAAAAAAATAAATTGCAAAACATGATTGACCATTTGAAGTAAAAAACATAATAGTACAACATTTACCCATAAAGAATCAATGCCTTTTTTATAATTTACAATTCACTGACAAGTAGATTGGGTGGCGCAATTGTAAGAGTGAAGGCCTCGCTTTGTACTAAATTGCAAAGTAAGGTTTTGGGATCAAATCCCACATAAGTACAATGGGATGTCAAGACTGGTCGATGAGAACTAATAAACCATTGAATCCCCATTTTGCAGTAGATACAAGTAGGAAAAAAATCTCTTGCTAATACAGAACTACGGTTATATGGTCTGTAAATTTGCTAAATTTATTTGTAGAGTCTGTAGCCCTTTTGCAAGTAGGATTTGTATGGCTAAATATTCTTTTTAAAAAATTCAAATGCTAATCATTGTAAATGGATTGATAGTATGTATCACAAGAAGGAAAACTTTATCATGTATATTTAAAAATATGTTGTAACCACAAACATAACAAGGCAGACTACAGAAGCAAGCCTTTAGTTGAAAAATGTTAATTTTCAGATATTTTATTTTTAATTACAGTGGTATTTGCATTTAAATACATTGCATTTGTTCGAATAAACATATTTTTGTATTGTAGTTATTGTATCAATAATGTATATGATTTTTTCTGGAAGTTATTATATTGGGGCTACGGACTATACAGGGCTACGGACACCAATCATTCTTCTATAACTTCTTTTGGTGTTAGCGCAAAAGCTATTCATTACTGTTTTTTAATTTACTGGTAACTATGAAAATATTAAACAAGAGAATGATTAATTCTACATTCTTTTGTTGAACACAAACTATAATGAAATATGGGGCTACGGACTATACAAAATATTAGACCAGTATGGGAAATAAAATACAAAATGTGCACACATTTTACAATATAACCACTATATTTTTCTCAAAGTACTTTTTTTCTTAAGTTAAATAAATTTTTTTCAACAAATTATATTTGCTCTTTTTTGATAGAAATTATGCATTTATTCAAACATTGATAAATCTTAAATCATATAACAAAGGTACATCTGCACACATTTATTCATAATTTCCACAATTTTTATCCTTTTTCTTTTCTGTAAAAAATAAACTTTACCAGATTGATTTCTCTATAATAAAGTACATTTATTTTGGAATGTTTCATTCAAAATAATTTTAATTAACCATTATTTAAAATGTAAAAAATCAAGTGCAACAGCATAACGCTTCAAAAATTATGAACTTCTGACTTTATTCTGTAGTTTTATCAAAGATGCAGATACTATATATATGATATTATATACCAATGGAAAGCTCTCATTCTGATCTTTGCAATGCAATAGAAGACATTTAGATTAGATATAACTATGAAGAGTTACATCTATATAACATGATTTAGTTGGAAATGGGCATCTGATCTTGGCCAAGCCGATATGCATCATTGGACTAATATAAAATGTTTTTGAATTAGTCCTTAAAAATAACCTAAGTCCGTTTACAACATTTTGTGACG